AATATGAAAATGATAATTTATTTTATCTATTTTTCCAAAGAGCAGACATGTGTTGATATAAACACCGACCTCCCACACAAATTTTCACGCTGTTCATCAATTGGACACTTAATTTAATTTAATTATTTCTTTTAAATAATATATTTATTATATATAAATAACAGATCTGAGTATTCATTTTTGTTTTATACGATTTTCACGTCATAAAAAGAGGAAAATATGGATTTAGCCATTCGAGTCATGCTAAGAAAAGAAAATCCCTGCCAGCTTGACTGCCTTCAATGCTTGCTGTGTTTGATTTTGTTTCCTTTCAATTTATGGAATTAGTCATGTTTGATCATCCCTGTGTTATGGTTTTCACCCTTCTTGAAGTTTAATTAACTTTTTTTCCAAATTTCCTCCATTATTTCTTCATTTGTGATATTATAATGGGACGAGTTTGAATTTTCAAGGCCGAGTTCTGAGCTCAAATTTTAGTTATGAACTAACTATTATCTAAAATTTCACATTTCACATCTTTCTACAGAAAGTGCATTTGATCTGCAAGTAAAAGGAGTGTTAAATATATAATTAATATCTAACAAAATCTTTAAATTAGGTGATCATTCAATAATTATATTCATGATTGCAGCACGTACACTAATTTTCATTTCTTGATGGAAAATTTCTCAACATTTATTGCATTTTGTGTATTGTGTATTAATTAACATTTATTTGTCATTATATATGTTGAAAAAATTATTTATTTGAAATTATAAATGTATTTGACACATAAATATTGATAGAAATAGAAGATCGCGTAACTTATTAATTATAAAGAGAAAGACTATATTTATGGGATTACGCAATGAAAAAATATGTACTAATTAGTAATTACAGAATCACATTATTATGAAATAATAACAATACTCTGAAAAATGTTGAGAGATATTATGAAAATCTTTTTTATTCATCAACACTAATTATCCAAGAATTTTTCCATCCGGTTTGAAGACTCTCTTCGCTCGGAGGAAAAAGGAAAAGCAAAAATAGATCATGAAACACCTACACACTCGCAAACATAAAAAAATAAAGATTTTATTTGAATATTTGGATAAAACAGGGAATTCTTTCTGTCTTTTAGATATATAATTATAGTAATTCATTTTCATTTGGTGCTTTCAAACTAGAAAGGGATCTCTTTGGGGCTTCCTTCGTCAAGCATTTCCATGCAATGAACAAATAAAGACAACACAATAGATAAATACAAAAATTCATCATGAGCTTCCAATATATGTTATAATGTCCTTTTATTTATTCCAAGTGAGTAAACTCTTTCACTTTATTTTCCTCTTAATAATTCGAAAGTAAGATCTATTAGGACTAATATCCATTATAAACATATTAAATAGTTACACCAAGAACAAGAAAAATGGATGATAATATTGTGATAAGATATTAACGTCACATCATGCATATTTCAAATCAGTTCTTCAATAAAATGTCACAAAGTGATTTTCAGCATTTTGTGAATCCACTTGTGACCTTTTTTTGGCCAAAAAAATACATTTTGTAGCTAAAAATCCGCTTGCTTGTGCTTACAACTTGTCAGGGATGCGAGTCGAGGTGACAATCGACTCGTCCCACTTAACTTACCTTGAATCCATTCTAGATATGCATAGACCTCCTCTAAAAATCTATAAATATATCGAGTCATGTCAAATGCAACATAGTAGGCACGCTATTAATATATACTTATACTACATATATGGTAGAGTGTTGGATGTGAACATTACAATTGAGAAAAATTACATTTTTTGTTTTTATAAGTACCCGTCATTTACTACCTAATATACATGTGAATAGTAATTTAAAAATACTTTTTATAATATTTAAAAATTGATATCAAAGATGACAGAATACATAATTTTTTAATTAGCATCAATAAATTTCAAAAGATAGAAAAAAGGACACCTTCTTTTGTGACCATATATATTGTTCATTGCAAGTTGCAAGTACCAAAGAGAATTGTTGTACAAGTTAAAATATTGTGTATGGATACAACATTGGGCAAGGAACCTTATGAAATCTTATGAACGAAAAGCACAAAAAGATGGATTCATGAAATGGAAAAGTTTATAGGATTTGTTCCTCCTATGCAACCTTGGAACTCTTTATTTCACGTGGCAAAAGTAGGCCCCATAATGATAAGTTATGGATCGCTAGCTTCTTCTTCTTCTTCTTTTTTTTTTTTTCCTTTTCTTTTCTTTTTTTTTTTTAATTCCAAGAATTGAATTGCTTTTCCCGTGATAATAATGTATTTTATTGTGTGTTAATTAATTAATTCATGGACACAGCATCGGCGCTTTATTCTCGCAATGGTTTTCAAGCCATCTATGTTAGACTTCACATTTGTTACTAGTGTGTCTTGTGTATATAACAAGAAAGAAACTTATTTTGAATATATTGAAGGTGTTCTTTCATATAGTTTTAAAGTGCTTTTTCAAAAGAGAGAAACAAGTTTACTTAGGAAGTTAGAACTTCTAAAATGTTTTAAGTGATTCTACGGGCTACCATTTAAAGTCTGGCACAATTGTCGTTAAGTCAAATGATGGGGTTTAGTATTTAACAATTGAGTAATGTTATTCACAGTCGCTCACTACGATAGTCGTCTTATGTGACATCTTATATGGCGGTTTGTGATTTTATATATATTAATATAGTAGTTTTTCTTGCCACATATATCTAATCACTAATCGTCACATGCGTGCCATATAGGATGATTGTGGTAAATAGTAACTGCAAATAACATTATTCTTAACAATTATATTACTATTAAAATAAAATAAAATAGAACTTAAAGACGTTACAAATCTAGTATTTCACTAATCACGGAAACAATAGATCAGAAAATACTTAAAGAAGTATTTATGTGTTTTAACCACTCTGGCATTGAAGATACCACAGGTCAGGGCTCAGAATAATTGTAGCCATATGTTTCACTCTGAAAACCCAAACACCTGACCCAATAACTAACCAAAGTTGCTTCGGTGGACTGAACGACAAACCGTGACTACAGATTAATAATCTCGCTCAATCAACGTTCAAAAATTGTGTTTATCTCACATAAAGAATAAGAAATTGCCCGACCAGAAGTTGGAGATTGAAGAACAAAACAAGATAGAAAAGTTTGAGAAATGGCGTGTCTGAATGGAATGAGGATTAGGACAATAGAGAGTTGTATGTATACTCTCGCTGTCAATCATTGATCAAACTATCCAGAGCAACTAATAACTTAAGCAACTGTCAATAAACAACCATAAAGAAAAAGGCTTGATTGATCGATCCGCCAATTTATGCTTCGCAATCACGTAAAGCATGAAAAATATATTGTTTCTTATCGAGTAAGGTAATTTGAGACTCCCTGGATCCGTTAGATTAGAAGGTAGTCTGTTGAATAAGAAAGCACTGCACTCATTCAATGCAATGGTCTCAAACTAATTCAATCTTTTTTTCTTTTTTCTTTTTGGACAACATTTTTTTCAAGAACTTTGCATAGTTTAAAATTTGAGATATAGCTAACAGGATACTATTACGAAGCTTTTTATACATGTCCAAGAATTTAGTAACTATTCTTCGAGCTTCTTCTTTTGCAACATTTGAGGAAAGGAGACAAGAAGCACATGGATAAAAACAGTTGCTTGAACAGCGACTCTAATTTAGGATTATTTTTGCTAACTGATTAGACTGATTCACATGCTCCTCATCCGTGGTAGGTACCTTTTCGTTCAATGCCACTTGTCTCTTAACTGTAACTTCTAGAAGTTGAATTCCACTTTGCGTAGTAATTGCTGAAATGTTTCCCCTGACTTTTTTCGAGAACTTTGAGGATATGAAATAGGAGATATGCATGCTCGAACTGGAGTTGGAGTTTTATAGGATGATCCTCAATGATTTCGTCCTCCAAAACACTTACAGCCATCACATGTTTTTTTGAATTGATTTCATTGCCACTTGGCAAGGTCCCTAATGGTCTTTCTAAGAGTACCCTTGCTATTTACTCTACCTGATTTTTTGAATTTTATATTGTTGACCCTTGATTATGAAGTCTTATTTCAATCTTTTTGCATAAACTGGGTTGTAATTCCTGTCATTTTTCCCATTGCTTCTTCCCTTGGATCTTTCCTTTCTTGCAGTAAAAAACTCGATAGCATATTCTAAGGTGGTGCTTAGAGATGACTATGCATTACTCTAAGAGAAGTTCGAATGGTTTCTCCAACACATATTGTATGGTGGAATGGGGATTGTTTAGCTATCTGATGAGGACATCCCAATTTTAATTATTTTAGTTGGACTTTTATTTCTTAGTTAGACTTAGGTTATTTTATTTTTATGGACTTGTGTATTGGGCTTGGCCCTAGATTTACAGTAGTTTCAGTATTTAACCTATTTTACATTATTATTTTTCAGTTGATGAATTTGATTAAATAAAAGTTCGGCTACAGCCCCATTTCTCGTCTTCCGTGTTCTTCCCCCGGTTCCCCTTCTTCTCTTCTCCTCTCTTCTCCTTCTTCTTTCTTTCTTATTCTTCTTTCGTCCCAGGGGCATCCCTCCCAAATTTACCTCATTATAGGATGAATCCTACCGAGCACACTAAACTTCAAAGGCAAGTGGATGATCTCCTTCACAAAGGATTCATTCGTGAGAGTTTAAGCCCGTGTGCTGTCCCCGCCCTATTGATGCCCAAAAAGGATGGTTCTTGGAGAATGTGTGTGGATAGTCGCACGATCAACAGGATCACGGTGAAGTATCGTTTTTCCATTCCTAGACTTGACGATATGTTAGATATGATGGTTGGTGCCACAATCTTTTCGAAGATTGATCTGAAGAGTGGATACCATCAGATTCGAATTCGCCCAGGTGATGAGTGGAAGATCGCATTTAAGAAAAAAGATGGTTTTTATGAATGACTAGTCATGCCTTTTGGGCTAAGTAATGCGCCAAGTACCTTTATGCGAATAATGACACAAACTTTCCAACCTTTCATGGGCAAGTTTCTTGTTGTCTACTTTGATATCCTCATCTATAGTAAGACTAAAGAGCAACACCTTGACCACCTCACACAAGTTTGCTCTACCCTTCGTGCAACTAATCTATATGCTAATGTCAAGAAGCGCTCTTTCTTCACCGACACAGTCATTTTTCTGGGGTTCATTGTTTCTTCGACAGGGGTATCCGCTGACCCTGCTAAGGTTCAGGCGATTATTGACTGGCCTGAGTTTAAAGTTATTCATGACGTCAGGAGCTTTCACGGCTTAGCTACATTTTACCGTCGCTTTATTAAGGGGTTTAGCACTATTATGGCGCCTATTACGGAGTGCATGAAGAAAGGGAGTTTTATTGGACACAAGAGGCGGTTAAAGCCTTTAAGTTAGTCAAGAAGCGAATGACGGAGGCCCCCATCATGCGTCTTCCCAATTTTTTCAAAGTCTTTGAAGTTGAATGTGACGCCTCCGGGGTAGGTGTAGGCGGAGTCTTAAGTCAGGATCGTCACCCTGTTGCCTATTTCAGTGAGAAGTTAAATGAGGCCAAACAGCGGTACTCAACTTATGATAAGAAACTGTATGCAGTGGTCCAGGCTTTGCGCTATTGGCACCACTATTTGTTACCCCAGGAATTTGTCCTTTATTCGGATCACGAGGCTCTCCGTTACCTAAACTCCCAGAAAAGATTAAGTTCTAGGCATGGTCGTTGGGTCGAATATTTGCAGGCCTATTCATTTGTTTTAAAGCACAAGAAGGGCGTAGAGAACCAAGCAGCTGATGCGTTAAGTCGTTGTGTCTCCCTTTTGTCGATCATGAGTGTCAAGGTAATCGGTTTTGAAAGATTTAAGGAGGATTACGAGGCATGTCCCGATTTTAAAGATATCTTTCTTGATTTACAAAGGGGACAATCAAGCGCCACAGATGGCTTCCGACTTGAGGAGGGTTATCTCTTTAGAGCCAATAAATTGTGCATCCCTCGAACTTCAGTGCGAGATTTCATCGTATGGGAAATTCATGCGGGAGGGTTAGCCGGTCATTTTGGATGTGATAAGACTATAGAGGAAGTTAAGCGTCAATTCTATTGGTCTAGCTTGAAGAAAGACGTGGCTAAAATTGTTAGTACTTGTAACACTTGTCAATTGAGTAAGCAGAAAAAGCAGAACACAAGTCTATACACCCATCTCCCTGTCCCTAATTGTCCTTGGCAAGATGTTAGTATGAATTTTATGTGAAAACTTCCACGCACCCCAAAGAAGCATGAGTCTATTTTTGTGGTTGTCGATCGCTTATCAAAGATGGCTCATTTTATCCACTGTAGCAAGACATCGGATGCGTCCAAAGTTGCCCTGCTATTCTTTAATGAAATTGTCAAATTGTATGGGCTTCCCAAGACCATCGTGTCTGATAGGGACGTTCGTTTCACTAGCCATTTTTGAAGAACTTTGTGGCACAAAATGGGTACCAAATTGAAATTCTCTACGGCCTACCACCCTCAGACTGACAGTCAAACTGAAGTAATTAATCGAAATCTTGGTAACATATTACGTTGTCTAATCCGGGAAAACCTTCGAAATTGGGATTTGATCCTTCCTGTAGCTCAAATTGCGTATAATAGCTCCATAAATCGTTCACTAGGTATGAGTCCATTTGAAGCCGTTCATGGGTACAAGCCCAGGAAACTGTTAGATCTCATCCCTATGTCCCCACAGGCTAGAGTGTTAGTATCAGCCGAAATATTTGCACAACATCTTCGTGACTTGCATATTGAGATCAATAAACAACTTGAAGCTAGTAATGCAAAATATAAACTCCAAGCTGATTTACACAAACAACATATTTAGTTTAACATTGGAGATTACGTTATGGTTCGTATTAGGCCAAAGCGACGTCTACATGGACCCGCCTCTAAATTGCAAGCTCGTAGCGCTGGTCCTTTTAAAATTTTAAAGCAGGTTGGTCCAAATGCATATATTGTTGACATTCCAACACACATTGGTTACCACTCTACTTTCAATATTGAGGACCTTGTAGCTTATAAAGGCCATTTCATTCCCTCAGATGATCCTCTCTCATCTCCTTTTGTGGACCTTGACCTGATTCTTTGGCCCCTTCTAATCCACTACCACCTCTCACAGCATACAAAGAAAAAATTGATGCTATTTTAGATGAAGAAACTATGTTCACTAATGATGGAGAGGTTCAGCGCTTCCTTATTCGTTGGGTTGGTCGACCAGATTGTGACTGTGCATGGATCTCCAAGGAGACACTACAGCAATTGGATCCAAATTTATTAGAGTTTTATCGGAGTCAGTAGGATCTTCATTGGCCCAGATCGCCTCCCGTCCACCCGAGAGGAGTTGGTGAGTACACCAGGTTCAGACCGCCACTGACGCATTTCTACAGACGCCGGAAGAAGTTTGCCCAGCCACTCAACCTATGGTTGGGAGATTGATGGAAGCCTATGATGATATAGCCACTCGACAGGGTCGAGTTTTCTCTCCCACCCCGGGATAATTGATGAGGATATCCCAATTTTAATTATTTTAGTTGGACTTTTATTTCTTAGTTGGACTTAGGTTATTTTATTTTTATGGACTTGTGTATTGGGTTTGGCCCTAGGTTTACAGTAGTTTCAGTATTTAAACCTATTTTACATTGTTATTTTTCAATTGATGAATTTGATTAAATAAAAGTTCGGCTACAGCCCCGTTTCTCTTCTCTGTGTTCTTCCCCCGGTTCCCCTTCTTCTCTTCTCCTCCCTACTCCTTCTTCTTTCTTTGTTATTCATTCTACATCACTATCTCTAATAGTTCTGCATATAATTTCCCTTCTCAGATGGCTTTGAGAAATGGACTTCCCACATTATAGTTCCTACTTTCATGATTACCTCCAAATCATTATACCTCGGCCCAAATGCTTGAATTGCATTTATTGCTTGATTATTTGTCATACTGTCAACCTTCTTAGCTAATGGTCATTTGAGTGTACACCATTGCATGACATTGTTCTAGATCAAAATTCATGAACATGTAAATCCCATAATATTTATCTTATGCTGTCTCTCTCATATAATTTTTTTATCGTTAAAAATTATTTACTTTGGCCTGCCATATGAATGTAGTTACCTTCTCATTATCAATGAATAACGTTGATGCTTTCGAAGAAGCATGGCATCAATATCTCAATCTTCAAATATGATAATTCTTTAGAAAGGGTAATTAGCTCAAAAGATCCCTACCTTTTAATGTTATTGTGCAAAATGTCCTTACCTTTCATTTTTTGACATTTTCACCCCTACCTTTCAACTTTCATTGCGCAAAAGGTCCTTTTCATCCATTTTTTCAGTAAGATGACAATTTTACCCTCCTATTTCAAATAAAACAAAAAGAAAAGATGAAGTACCAACTACAACCATAGTCCTAAAGTTTTTAAAAAATTAAAAAGAAATCATAAATTCTCTACCACTACCACTTTCACAACCTACCAAGCTGCCACCTGTATATCCACATAATACCTCCTTTCGACCACCATGCCCACCGGACTCTACCACCACCAGCCTCACCTTACTCCCCCATTAAGGACCCATCAATTTTGGATAGACAACTCTCATCGTGCATTGCGCCCATAGAGAGTTTTGGACCAGAAATTGAAACGATTAAGGGGATAATTTGTTCAATTAGATTCATATTCATTGTCGTTTGGGTTTGTTGATGGTTCAATTGATGCCGATTTGGGAATTTAGTATTGTGGGATGCATGACTTGAAGGAGAATAGTTTGGCAAAATGGATATCGCCACTGCCGAATGTTCTAGAATTACAACGAAATGATTTGAGCCAGTTTTGATGGGTGTAAGGCCATGTATAGGTTCGTCAAGGTAAGAGGTAACCGTCCGTGGTGGTGCACGACCGTGGGTAGCGTCGAAAGTAGGATTTCAATGAAGGGTTGTATACAGCAGTTTGGTATTTTGGGCTATAAATGTGGTTGTTTCAGACAGATTGGTGACCAATACTGTGGAGGGGTGTTGGGGAGAGTGAGGTAAAGCTAGTGGTGGTGGAGTCCGATAAGTGTTGTGGCCTGAAGGTGGTGCTATATGGATCTATAAGTGACGGCTTGGTGGGGTTGTGAAAGTGGTGATATTGAAGAATTTAGGACTTATCTGTAATGTTTTGAAAAAAAGTTAGGTTTATGATTGCAATTAGTTATTTATTTTTCTTTTCTTTTCTTTTTGTTTTATTTGAATAGGAGGGTAAAATCGTCATTTTATTTTTTTAAAAATGGATAAAAAGGACCTTATGCACAATTAAAGGTGAAAGGTAGGGAAGAAAATACCAAAAAATAAAAGATATGAACGTTTTGCACAATAATATTGAAATATGGGGATCTTTCGTGCTGATTACCCCTTTAAAAATATAAGAAGATTTAATTTAATATTTTATGTGAATTTAGTGAAATAATAAATGTAAGCATTTATAACAATATCTTGGTCTTGAAGAAGCACAAATGTATATCTATTAATATTCTAGAAGAATATTTCTCTCGGCACAATTTTAATATTTTAAAATATAAAATTCCATAAAAATATCACAATATCTAATCTCATGAATAGGTACGAGTCACTGACAATTAATTAATACTTTTGTTGTGAGCATTATTATAATAGATTGTATTATCAAAAATACAATGACCAAATCAATAAATTGATTTTATAGTGACTTAATTTTATATTAGGCCCCCGTTTGAGCCCCATTATTTTTCATTATATTAAATTAAATTTTTCTCTCTCCTACTTTTAACCACACAATCTTCAATAAAATAATATTACACGTAAATCAAAAATTTTTTAACCACTCATTTTTCAAAAAAATACTATTCATCTCATTATAATCTATAAATAATGGGGCTCAAACGGCCCCTAGGTTTGATCGTGGGGTGCAGGGCGGGCGGAGGCGCCGGGGAGGAGGGGGAATGATTGTTCAATACACGTCTAGGTGGTAATGGATCTCACACCTCCACATTTTCTAATCATAAAAAACTTCAATTGACTACATATGTGAACTTCACCACCATCTAGGTTGATGTTAAACATGTGATGACAAGTAGCATAGCGTTATATAACGAAAGGGGTCACCGAATTGAAGGATCACTTGACATGCCAAATTCAGGGCTTGATCCAATTGTGGAGGCTGCTCTACCAGAAGGGTAAAAATTATTGATTTGAGTACTCTATAATAGTAAGATAAACAAGTATAGACAATTTTGCTCTGCCATAACTCAACTATTTTGCAATTAAAATTTTCGACTCCTAATGATTTTTTCTCAACTGAAGTATAAAAAGGCATCAACGAATGAAAACAAGCCTAATGAATCAACTCAATGATAACAAACTGTT